TCCTTGTTTGGGACATTAAACATTTTCTTCGAGGATATTTTAATTATTAGACAAACCGAAACATTAGAATATGACAGAATACATAATAATAATGTATGTCAAAGAATACTTCAAATTCGCCTACCTGTTAACCTAATGAATAAACCTTGATCCAATCGATTCAATAATAATTGAAATTAAAAAAACTAAATTGGTACACTTTCGCGCCTAGAAGAAAAAATTTAAATATTAGGTTGGGGAAAAAGGAATCCATTATTTTTATATGAACTATAGGACTTTATTTAGTCAATTTTCACAATCCTCCCTAGATAACAATTTTTTTGTCATTAAGAAATTGTACAATGCAAGAAAAAGCTGATAATCGCTTGGTGCCCTGTCCGGACTATATGGCAGATGCATTATAAACTTATCAACCAAGCTCCCAAAGTTTCCGGCGAGATGTTTGTGGCCTAGCGTTGTCCTGGTGGAACATGAAACCTATCCTGTTGGCCAATTGTGGTCGTTTCGGGTCAATGAGATGCATTTCTCATCTCCAGTCACCATCCGTTTAAGAAATGGGTCTATCTCATTCCGTTTGGCGAAGACTTCGCAGATGGATATTCGATCTATCCTATATTTTTGTTAATTGGTGTGGCACCCAAACATCGAGTTTCTTTTTGAAGCCAGCCTTGTGTAAATGGTTTATAACTGTTTCATTGTCATTTTTGAGCTCCTGGGCGATGTTACGGCTGCTAACATGCCGGTCAACTTCGATTAATTCTCCGTTTTTTCGACATTTTCGACGAACGGCCTAATGGATTTCTTTTTCCCCAACCTAATATTAATCGATTATTACTATTTTGTCCACAATGTTTGCACCTTTTTTTTAACACATTGAATGTGCTATACAAATTTTTTATAACCTTCACCATACAGCGGTACAGGGTATTATGTGTTTGTGCATATGTCAGTAACAGGCAAAAGGAAACGAGATAGACACATGGTTCCTTTTGAGAATATGCATAGAATCACTTTCTGAGTTTATTTATGCATGTCCGTCCGCCCGTCCGTCTGTAGATGTTAAATTGTAAACAAAGTACAGGTCGCATTTATGATCCGATTTGGATGAAATTTAACACAGCTTACTTATTTAGCCCAAAGACGAACCCTGTTGAAATTGTGAAAAATCGGTTCAGATTTAGATATAGCTCCCATATATAGTTTTGTCCGATTTTATGTAAATGGTGCACCAAAGCCCCTATATATCTTTGGATTTGCACGAAATTTTGCGTAGTGTCTAGAATGATGTGTATCAAGTTTCGAGAAAATCGGTTCAGATTTAGATATAGCTCCTATATATATATATATATATATATATATATCTTCTTCCGATTTAAGGTAAATGGGGCACCAATGTCCCTATATATCTTTCGATTTGCACGAAATTTGGCATAGGGTACTAAATTAGGTTCAGAATAATATGTGCTAAGTTGCGAGAAACTCGGTTCAGTTTTAGACATAGCTCCCATATATAGTTTTGTCCTGTGTTCAATAATTAAAACCCTTTTAATAATTTCAATATCAATCATCTAACCTTTGTCTAATTTAATTGATATCAATCATACGCCCCAACAGTCAATAAATTTTGAAATTATTTCCACATTACATTCTATAAAATTATTTATTAAAATTCGAACATGACATTCGACTTTAGAATTTTGTTATCATTATTTATTCATATACATACATACCGCATGTACGTACATATGCAATAGAGGTTAATTTTCGAATTGTCAAACAATTATAATGCAATTCAACTAAAATCTATGTACGTACATTTGCCACTATTGTTACGAACAGCTACGGCTATCATTGCGAACAGCAATTGCTTCAGTCAGTCAGCCACTAACGTTACAACGATGTTACTATGACGGAGAGGCGATAATCATAACAATAATATGGCGGGGGCCAGGCAATTATTATTGTTATGTTATGACATTTTCATGTCCGACACATGTCAGGGTGACAACACTTGGTGGGCCACACCATTGTCATATCCATTTGTATTTCGTTATTGCGCCCAGCAAAGGCATGGGTAGAGGAAATCCTGTTGCTAATTTTTGCAGAACAAATTGTCGTGTGGGGGAAAAATCTCCCTCTTCTCACTCATAGTGGCATTGCGATGGGATATCCAGTAAATTATTTGAGCCTCATGAACATGAAGCAGAATAGTTGTCAAATGTCATAAATGTTATGGTCGTTATAAATGTTAGCAATTTTACTGTTAGTCCTAGCTCAAGCTATGCCGTATATAAGTAAGAGATTTAAAAATTGTTGCCTTAGTTGGCTGAACTTCGTGGTTACGCTAATATTTTGGTTTTTATTAAAGTTGGCCAATTTTATAATAAAGGTAAATTTTAAAGATTTTTTATATCCTCCGCCATAAAGTGAAGTGTGTATTAAATTTATCATTCCGTTTGCGAAGCCTCCAAATATTTGTCGAACACCCCATATTCCAGATCAGAATAAAAATCTATGTCGATAAATGTCGTATTTTTAAATATAGACTTGGAATTTCGTACACATACTGATAATACTCTTAGGATGTTTGGTATTGAAAATGCGTGGACCGATACGTTTTGGAATAGTCCCAGTACAACAGTACCACCAATTATTCGATACTTTGGGGACGTTTATTAATCGAATTGGATCTAATTCGATATTAGGCATTATCATTAGGTAGAAAATATTCCTACCAAAAATTATCAATATTGGCCCATGTTGCTGGTTAGCCCCTATGTAATGGTAACCAGGAAATTTCGGAATTTTGAGGAATGTAATTTTGTATTTTGGGTTCTCATTGGGCAGAAAATCTCCGTACAGAAAATTATCAATTTTGGTCCACTTTTTACGTTATCCTCCATTTAATAGCACCCCATAAATTTCGATATTTTGAGGAGCTTGGGTGCGTCTTTCAATCGAATTATCTGTTATTTGGTAATTTGGGTTCTCATGGGGTAGGAAATCTTCTTATCAAAAATGATTCATATTGATCCACTTTTTAGGGTAGTCCCATATAAAGGTACCTCCCGAATTTCGTTATTTTGGGGAGATTGGACGCGGTTTTCCACCAAATTGACTGTAAATTGTTATTTTGGGTTCTCGTGTGATAGAAAATCTTCCTACCAAAAATTATCAATATTTGTCCAGTTTTTAGGGTAGCCTCCATATAAATATAAATAAATTTTCAGTATTTTGGGGAGCTTAGGAACGTTTTCCAAGCGAATTAGCTGTAATTTAGTATTTTGGGTTCTCAATGGATAGCAAATCTCAGTACCGAAAATCATCAATATTGGTCCAATTTCCAGGGTAATCCCCATATAACGGAACCCTCAGGAACCCTACGGTACCTGATGGAGTTGGGGCACATTTTTCAACCGAATTGTCTGTAATTTTGTAATTTGGATACGCAGTAACTAGAAAATCTCCTTACCAAAAATTATCAATATTTGTCCACTTTCTACGGTAGTCCCCATATAATAACCTCCTATAAATTTCGATATTTTGAGGAGCTTGGGCGCGTTTTTCAACCGAATTGTCTGCGATTTGATATTTTGGGTTTTCATGGGGTAGAAAATTTTCTTACCAAAAATGATTCATATTGGTTCACTTTTTAGGGTAGCCCTCATATAAAGGTACCTCCCGAATGTCGTTATTTTGGAAAGCTTGGGCACGCTTTTCAACCGAATTGACTGTAATTTGGTATTTTGGGTTCTCGTGTGGTAGAAAATCTTCCTACCAAAAATCATCAATATTGATCCACATTTTAGGGTAGCACCCATAAACGGTACCTCCCGAATTTCGTTATTTTGAGGAGCTTGGGGTTCTCGCCGGGTAGAAAATCGTTCTAACAAAAATGATCCATATTAGTCCACTTTTTAGAGTAGCTTCCATATAAAGGTACCTTCGAAATTTTTCGGAATTTGCGCACGTTTTTGTGGATCTTGGATCTTGGGCGCTGTTTTCAACCGAATTACCTGTAATTTGGTATTTTAGGTTCTCGTGTTGTAGAAAAGTTACCTACTAAAAATGATCAGAATTCGGCCACATTTTAGGTTAGTCCCCATTTATAGGTACCTCCCGAATTTCGTTATTTTGGGTAGCTTGGTCGCGACCGAATTGACTGTTATTTGGTATTTTGAGACCTCCTTGAATAGGAAATCTTCATTTCAAAAATTATCAACATTGGTCAACTTTTTAGTGTAGCGCCCATTAAACAATACTTTAACATTTTCAGAATTTTGCGAAGTTTTGGTACGTTTTCTAACCGATCTGTCTGTAATTTGGTACTTTGGGTTCGCATTGGATAGAAAATATCCTTACCAAAAATTTTGAAGTATATTGAAGTTTCGGAGTAGGCTCCATATAACAGTACAACCCATTTTTCGGCAATTTGAAGACGTTGGGCACATTTTTCTAATGTAGACATAAAAAGTCCCTTTCGTCGTTTGGTACCTTAAACAATCTTCGTCCCAGTCGAACTTAACAATGTTTTTCCTTTTCTTTTTAATATAATTTATTTTTTCCTCTTTTTCAGCTCTCGTATTGCATCATAATATTAGGTCTCATATTTCCACGATCCACTCTGTTAATCATTAATCATTTGAAACACCAAACAAATCTGAAATTTGTCAACAAATCTCACATGGAAGAATTATAAATTACAACAAGAACAACAACATCTAGTACAACACACAGGACAATTTATTACAGCAACAACATGGACATTTATCAAATTCATGACAAAATGGTCTTTGGTCTGTTGTCAATATAGTCGGCCAACAACCAACGGAGCAACAACAACAGCAGCTACAACAAAACTTCAAATTGTACTTTTTGGCCACTTAAGTACCCTCCAACGCCCGGCCACACATTGAAATTTTGGCCGGCTAGGTGGTTACGGACACAACCATTCATTTTGTTCGCCAACAACAGTAATGCAACGCCATCCAACTCCCGCAACATCCTCATCTCCGCCAAAAATGGCCAGTAAATCGAATAAAACCACAAAAACCATTATCACTTTTATAGCGGCCTATTTCGAGGATAGTAACATACACGGCCTGAAATATGTGGTTAAAGGAGATCTAACAACAATTGAAAAGTAAGTACCGTGGCCTTTTATATAAATGTAGCCTGAAAAATGTGTTTGCTTGGGTGCGAGTGTGTCTGTGGGTCCATATACGTGTGTGTAGTGTGTCTATATGTGTTTGTGTGCGAAACGGACCATTGCGTCTATGTAGTTACATTTGTGGCTTTTGTTACAGCAGCGTCCATCTCTTGTGAACAAACGGTGTTGAGTAAATAGTTGGCCATCCGAACAACAAGATGAATTTTGGTCAGCCCCAGCGAAAATTGTATAACAAGTGCCGGTCAGTTTCCAACATTCGAAATTTCCCCCGATAGACAGACAAAATTATAACCACATGAATTTATATCGCCAAACTCAAATAACTCAATTTAGAGGTTGTTAAAAGCCCAAAAGCGTTAGAACATATAAAAATGATAATTTGGGGTGGTATGGCAAGTTCAGGCGGAACCGTGTATGAAACAAAATAATGTAGGGCGGCTATATGATACCCTACATCACTATGGTTATGTTAGTACAGTAGACCACGGATATAAGAGCATCTAAACAAATCGAGATATTTGTTCTTATAAGCGGGGTTTTCTTATATGAATGTATTTTATATAATAAACTGTTGTTGAAACATTTTCTTATGTCCGAGTTTTTCTTATATAAGATGTTCTTATACACGTTGTCCACTGTATATACTCTATTCAGTAATTTGAGCAAAATGTCGTATCAATCGAGCAGACGTAGAGAGTTTGTTGCTCCATTTTTTTTTAAGAGGAGGTTCTTGCGTATGTGGTTTTCTGGCCATTACGAACTGAACCCAATTCATTTGGCGGGAAAATGGGGACTATTTCACAAAGAAGACCAATGTTAAATAATGCGATTGATTACTTTTAATAACAATTTACTATCACACAGATTGAAATGTGAGCCTAGAACCTTGACAATTACAAGAAGTAAACTGTCTGGGCCTTTATATGGGGTCAATTTAATTACATTGTGTACCAATAGGTTTTTTCCTGGTACTCCACTTGAGAGAATAGTGCTTTCGCAATATTTAGGGATTCTTTTCAAGCATCATTCTGGTTATGCTATGGATTTTTTTTCTTAGGATCCGTCTCCATTTCCTACTAATGGTTCTGTACTAATGGTTCGTTAGATTCCAGAGCACTACACTACTTATGTTTTTTGACTAAATCATTCATGAGGCATTTGTTCCACTGCCGTATAGCAAAATCGTTTTTTACATGCTTCGAATATTCTATGCTTAGGTTTCCTGTTGGTCGAGTCAGTAACTTATAACGATCCGACAATCGACAATTTTGTCTACACATAAAATCGTTTGCAGTAACGAAAATGCTAGTCTGTAAAAATGTAGACAAATTGTCGATAAACTTTCAAAAAGCTTTTAATTTTGAACATTTTGAAAACAAAATACACACAAATTCGGAACAAAACTAGGCATGTTCAATATTGAAAAATATTTGTCGATAAGTTAACTTCGAATATTTTGGTGTTGTTTATTAACAACATTTTTAACAATTGTTGTTAAAAACTGTTAAACGGCATATACGCTCTAATGTATTTTTTACCGGGTTAACCTACTTTATGAGGATTTATTCGACATATATGAAAAGGAATTGACAATTGAAACCCAGTGGGTTAACGAAATCCGGTTAAATATAAACGTACTTTTAAAGAATTGAAATATTGTTTATTTTGTCGTTATAAATAACCCACTGGATATATGAGTGATTCTCCATACCCCCTGCAGTCGCCCAAATGGTGCTCTAGCTTTTTTAGCCTACTAATTTCGTTCGATTCTGCACCACACATTTTTCAGTACTTCATTGATAGCAGAAACCATCAACGTATCCAATTGCTTGACCTTGTAGCATGATGTAGAGGATTGCGAGTTAGTCCCTCCAGGACTTCTAATGTTGACAGCATGTTGCATATTTCGTGAGACAAATGACCGATATCATCCGCATAATCTAGTTGTTGTGAGAGAATCTATATTATGCCTCCTTCCTTAGAGCAGAATTCATTCATTATTTCATGCAGTACAAATATGAACAGTGGGAATAACAGAGGATATCCTTGCATTACTACCCGTTGGTGCAAAACGGTTGGCTTACTGCGATATTCTATAGATTTTTGTATTATTGGCATGGTCCACACAGATTCTATTTGGTTTAAAGCTTTAGGCTTTAGTGTATTTTCCATTGGACGGCTAGTGTTTCATGTAATTATTTTCAGTGGAGTTTGTGACGTTACTGATTTCTTCGAAATATTTTCTCCACACCAAAAATTAAGAGGGACTGTTATATGTAAACTAAAAAAACACATGGAACTACAAAAACAATAGTCCTAGACAAAGTATTTTATACACCAAGTTTCTTACAACTAGTTTTGTGTCGTTCGTGAACGACCTAGTTGAATTGAACGAGTCAGTCCACTGAACTAGTGAAGGACATAGTTCAGTTTTTATTATTGTCGTTCACTGAACGATTTGTTTACCAAACTCAGTCCGTCTCTGAACGACGTTGCTCACTGAACGACTTTGCTCAATGAACGCCGTCGGTCACTGAACGACATTGTATTTTCTTCTACACCTTCAGTGTTGTTCACAGGTGCAGCGACTTTGACCAACTGAACGGCGTCAAATAAGAACAATTTCATATAAAAATCTGTTAAATTGAATAAAGGTACGTGTAATATGTTCTTGTCCCATTTCATGGAATGCGGTGCTTAAAACATCAAATGCTGCAGTAGTGTTTGACGTATAGCTGGAGGGACAGTAAATAATATGAAGCGAAATTTAAAAGCAAATCACCCCCATAAATAACCGTGGAGCTGGAAACCATGAAAAAGAAGCAAGAGTGTCCGGAGCAACAACTGCATCGCAAACAAGTGTGCTGCCGAATATAACGGAGTTATGCCATCGACCACCACCCATTAACAAAGTGGAGAAAATAGATAGGAAAATCCTTCGAATGATTGTGAAAGGTAATCATTCTTTACGTTTGTTTGAACTGCCAGAACTTAATTGGAATACTCTGTCGTACCAATTGAACTGAGTAACCATTTGAACGATATAAGCAACTGAACGAGTTGAACGACCTAGTTCACTTTTAAAAAATGATTTAGTTCGTTCGATCACTGTACTGAACGAGTTTGCCCTGTTCGGCTTGGCATTTTTGAATGGCATGTTTTTTTACGGTGTTTATACCCAAAGACATATATATTTTATACTTAAAGACATATATATGTTATACCTAGATATCGAAAATATATTTATTTATTAAAAAAATTAAAAAAATGCAGATGAAAATTAATTAAAGCACAAAATTTAATATTTATACTGTACAAACAAAATTTAATATTCATACTATATGCTGGCAATTATATTTTAATTAATAAATGTCGTAGTCTGATTAACCCATTATAAATTTAGAAAAGTAGAAACCAAAAGTAAAAATCGCCGCCGTCCTCGATGTTCCAGGTTGGTCTGCGGGTGATGGGAGCTTAGCCTTTATTTGCATTCCATTTACATACCTTTTGTCTGCTATATTCGGATAAAAAAAAACTTAGAGGAACCTGGTTTCTTCTTCAAAAAACTGACATAACGAATACAAACGTGTTTGCGTTGTTCATCACAATTTACATATATATTGAGTCTTCAGATGAGTCATCAGCAAAGTTAAAATATAGATCCGTATCATCATGGACCGAGAACTAGCTTTCAAGAGATTCTGAGCTGGAATCGTTGTACTTTTTAGATTTCATCGGTCGTTTTGCTTTTATATATATATATTAATGCGTTTATTTATTATTATTTTTTGCCGACATTCTTTGGAGGTTCAATGTGGAAATCACCATTGTTTTCTGGCGTTTCTGTTAAAATTCTTGATTAACCTTTCTTCCGCGATTGTCTGGGAGCAGCCTTGGCCTTGGCCGGAAATGACCTTGAGGTAATATTATATTTTCCTTTGAAATATAATGACCAGCATTAGATTCATAATTTCCAGGAAGTAATAGAGAAAGCTCAAAGTCTGTTACTTCGGTTGATAAATCAATATAAGAGTTAAGTATTGGTCTGATTGTGACTTCTGCACAATCAAAATCTTCGTCCGCATGCATTTTTGGCAAACAGATAAATACCTGGCTTTGCAAAACCAGTAACAATGTTTCTGGGCGTAAATGCCGCAGTAAAAGCAGTATTGGCAATAACAGCAAGATTATGTATTGTAATAGTTTTTCCCAAATGATTCATTAGCCAATCATTTTGCGCGACAGAAAACTTCTGCTTAAATGGTCCCCAAACTGCGACATCGAGAGACTGAAGACGATGAGTACAGAGAGGAAGAAGTGTGACAAGAACAATGCCATGTTCTCGCCAGAACGTTATAAATTCAACTGGCAATGGATTGTCCATTAATAGTAATATCATGTCATTCTTTGAGCATCTTGTATGTATTTGGATGTGTTCAAGAACTTTAACGAAAAGCAAAGCCGTCATCCACCGACACTAATTGGTAATTGGTTTGAAATTCTTCAATGTTGTGCTTATTAAAGGTTGTTGATCGTGACAAGCTCGTGTTTTCATGCTTGCGAAGTGAAAGGTTTGTGTGTCTTTTCATGAAACACTTAATCCAATCCTTTCCAGCTTTTTTATTTATAGTCCATTTTTTTAAAGCGTGGCATATTGAAATGCTAAGATACGACCTTATATGTATGTTAAACCATAATTCATGTGTGAACTTTTGAGTATATAATTATCAAGCATTTTTTCTTCAGCAGTGGTGAAAATTTGCCCTGTGGAAAAATTGCTAGAATAAGCGTCATATTTTATCGTTTTATTTTCTTTATATCGCTTAATTCTATAAAATAAGGTATTTGGTAGAATGCTGTAAATATTGGCAGCGCCTCTTATATACATTGTCTTATTTAAAACTGCCATTATAGCACGCTCCATATCATCTTCACTAATTTTAGTGTTCTTCATCTTTTTATATGTACGTACCATTGTAGAAAGCTGAAAATAAAATAACGGGTTTATGAAGATCAACATAACGAAAAGGGAAAAACACGTGGGGCACCTTTGAACATTTATAATAATTTTTTAGTTAATATTTACCAAATAACTTACCTTAGTTATGTTTGAAACTAATGTTGGATTGCAAATAATTTGTTTAACGAAAGAAAATGATCACTGAATTCATTCTACACTCTTAAAACAAACAAACTATAAATTTACAATGGCCCTGCAAAAACACGTTCACCCGACTACATTCGGTCGACAACTGAAAATATTAGCCAAAGCTGTTGACACCGCTAGAAAACAAGGTTGCCATATAAAAACAATTGGTTCGAGAGAGAATGTCAGAAAGAATTTCAACCACCAAACGTAACGAACGATCGTTGTTGTGTGCTCTCATTCGTTTGTTAAGTGTGTGTGTGTGCGAACATTCTTTGCCGAATGCTCGTTTGGTAAAGAATTTATCACCACAAATTCATTCGTAAAATGAGCACAAAACAAAAATATTGTATTTTGAATCAATCGTGAGCGAGTTTTTGCGCATCGGGGTATGCAGGAAGTTTTGTTCACTTCCATACGCCGATCCTACACAATGATTCTGAATTCAAATTTCAGGCTTTCAAGTCTATACAATTCAAATTGTACTAAATATAGTACACATTAGTACGAATTCCTTTTTTATTCTACATACCCAAATCGTACCCTAATTCCAAGTTTCAGGATTTCAACTATATCGTTCAATCACAATTCAAATTGTACCAAACTTGCTACATACCCCAATACTACACCTTCACAGTGATACTAAATTAAAATTTCAGGATTCCAACACTATCGCTTCACCCAAAATTTAAATTGTACCAAATTTAGTACACTTAGTACAAATTTCTAAAACTTTTACATATCTCAATCCTAAAACTCAACAGTGATCCTGACTCCAAATTTCATGATCTATTGGTTCACCTAAAATTCAAATTGTACCATAAGTATTAATTTCTTAAACTGAATCCTGACTCCAAATTTCATTGATCCCGCTCCATCGGTTCACCCAAATCCAAACTGTACACGCTTTCAAAGCCATCTCCTTAAATAGACCCTACACCTCAAACCTGTGGCCTGTGAGAAACAGTGACGTAAATGACATACATTTCCGACATATAATACCTACGTCAGAAACGTCGGAAACCCACCCAAACCCATTAGGTTTTTGACAAAATAACTATTTCCACTTATCGATTTGGAAATATCGTATGCTTTACTCAAATCCATATAAAATTTCAAAATTTTATTCTCAGAAACGTTTGGAATTTTTTATCAGTTCTATTAAAGAATAGCCAGTTATATGTAAAACTAATATATATTCTTGAAAATAACTGTATATGGTGATAATATTGAAATAAATGACGTTTACTACATATATTACATTTTATACAAGTATATGACGTTTCCGACGTTTACACCTTTTTGACAGTCGAAAACCTAAAAATTTGTCATACGGACCATCCCTGCTTATTCGCATTCCAATTTTCATGTTTTTAGCTCTATCCATTCACATGCTATGAAATTGTACCAAATTTAGTACATTTTAGTTTTTTTCGCATACTTATAATTCGAATGCCGAAAAAACACTTTGCTATATCTATTCTACACTCCATTAGTGACCCTCTTTTCAAATTTAAGAGTTCTAGCTCTACCGGTTCGCAAAATACAAATTGTATCACATTTAGTACTTTTCGTAACGTTCCAGTACGAATTTCCAAAAACCCAGCCTTATCTGCCACCTTTGGACCTAGACTGACCCTCACCCAAAATTTCAAGAATTTAACTTTTGCCGTTTCGTCTGGGCGTAGATGAATCGTTAAATCAGCCGGACAATCAGTTTTCTCTTTTATTTGTTCTGGAGTTATAATTAATCATATGTACCATGTCCGATATAATTTATATAAATCATACGCATATTTGTCTATTAAAATTTATATTAATCAAAAATTAATTAAAATTTATATTAATGTGCTGTTTATGTCCGGATATGTCGTCGAATAATAAAATTCGGGGTTTAGTTGTTTGTTACTATTTTAGGGGACAAAAAGTCAATGCAGATCGATCATTGTCGATTTTGTTTAACCAGATCACCTTCATCGGATCAAATTTCACGTCATATTATGTTGGAATACTAATGACCAGGTCGAAACCCCTTTTTGTTATTTATTACCTTTTGAGTAACCAAGTTTCTAGCGCTAAGTTTATAAATTATTTCTTTAGATTCTATAGAAAATTTCTGAAACTTCCCATACCTCCCTCCTTGTAATACAACTCTTCCCCATTTAAATATTGTTTATGTCCATATTTGTTTTCCCAACTCATAGAACAACGGAAATACTAGCCAACCACTATCATGCTTTCAACTTCCATCTAAAAACTAAATATTTTTTTTTCCATTGACAAAATTCATTCACCTCCTCTGATTCGTATTTTTTTCTTCTTTCTGTGTCCATTACAGATGCCTCTGGTTGACGCTCTTAATTATATCGATGTTTTTTTGCGTAAAAATCGGTTTGCAATCTGTTGATCGTTATTATACAAAGAGTACCGTTGTTGGCCTCGAGCGCGACTTTTATTATTGGAACACAACAATGCCCGGTGTGACCATATGTCCATTAATACGTTTAGATGAGGAACGAGTTCGACAATATAGCCGGTAGGTGTTATGCGACAGAAAAGAAAAAAATATAATACGAGTATAGCTGCTGGTGGTTATGATGACGAGGCGGATAATGATGGTCATCGAATGCTGGTAGAGCTCCTGCTGTCGATGATTATGCGATAATGGACACTTGTGTGTGTTTTTTTGTATGCTAATATATCACAGCCAATGGGCTGTGGATTTGTCAAATGGGGGACAAATAGTTTGTTAACCAGCAAATTTTGTTTTGCAATTGCTGCAAACCAAAAATTGTCATGTCAGCTGTCAGGTTAGATGATTTTTAAAAGGGATGAGGAGTTTAAAGATATTTAGGAAAGGAGAATAAATTTTCAAAATTTCTCAAGGAATTTGCCTTTTGAATGCGTAAATTTAGAAATTAAAATTTTTTAAAGGACCAAGTGGTTCAATAGTCGTGGATTTTTAAATTAAAAAATTCTCAAGGATTAGTACTTCCTTAGGCGTGAATCTTTAAAATTAGGATTAGTTCTTCCTTAGGCATGAATTTTTAAATTAGGATTAGTTCTTCCTTAGGCGTGAATTTTTAAATTAGGATTAGTACTTCCTTAGGCGTGGATTTTTAAATTAAAAAATTCTCAAAGATTAGTACTTCCTTAGGCGTGGATTTTTAAATTAAAAAATTCTCAAAGATTAGTTCTTCCTTAGGCGTGAATTTTTAAATTAGGATTAGTACTTCCTTAGGCGTGGATTTTTAAATTAAAAAATTCTCAAAGATTAGTACTTCCTTAGGCAAAGATTTTTAAATTAAAAAATTCTCAAAGAATAGTACTTCCTCAGGCCTGGATTTTTAAATTAAAAAATTCTCATGGTTTTTCTCAATTTTTATTTTTTTTATTAACTTTAGTCAACATGATTTGAATGAAAATGAATTCCAAGAGCTGTATAATTTTCTGGAACATCTGGCCAATGCCACCTATCACAATTTCCATAACATACCCAATAATCGCAGCATTGCGGTACTGCTGGATCGTCTCAAGATAACACCGAACATCTACCAGGAACTAATTTACAATTTAACCGGTGACAGTACGATGATAACGAAAAACGATTTCATAGCCGCTACCGATAAAGTTCGCAGTACATCGGGTGATAGTATTATAGAAACGAGACAAATCTTCACCGAATATGGGTTGTGCTACATGACTAATACAATGCTGTCGGAGGAATTCACCTCCCATTATATGATATGGGGTTATGAAAATAAGAAGGAAATTCAAGGTGTGGATAATATTTTGAAGGTTAAGCATAGCAGCTACTTCGACAGTGATGTCAGTTATAATTTTTTGGGGTTCGGTAGTAAACCAATTGATGTAAGGAATCCAAAAAATATCCATATAAATGTTTTACTAATTAGTTCCGATGCCTATAGGGTTTTCTGCACAGTCCATATGAAATAATGCAGGTGGATCATAATTTGGGTTATACCAGTGAACCTCTACAGGTGGATGTTGAGTGCGTGGAAATTATAACTGAGGATGGTTTTGAAAAGTAAGAATTATACATCGAATAAGGTGGATTTTTAATCGCTTTAGTATTTCCAGGGATGCCACAATTGAACAGCGTAAATGCCGTTTCCAGCATGAATCCAATTTGACCCATTTTCCAGTGTATTCGAAAAATATTTGCATTCAAGAATGTCGTCTGAATTTGGTCTATAGTATTTGTAAATGTATACCGCATTTTTATCCGAATCGAAGTAAGTACGAAAAGAACTAAAATATTATTCTCGAATCCTTCTTGATTATAAAGCTAAGACATGGAACAACACATTTTTGAAACAAATTTTCCCAAGGACCAGAGATATTTTGGTGGATTTTAAAGCTAAAATATCATCAGGTCCAATACCTTCCTAAGAGTGGATTTTTAAATACAATGTTTCCCAGGGACTTTTACCTTTCTAAAATTGTCAAGGACCTATAGGCGTGGATTTTTAAAGAAAAAAATTGTCAAGGACCTATAGGCGTGGATTTTTAAAGAAAAAAATTGTCAAGGACCTATAGGCGTGGATTTTTAAAGAGGAGAAGTTCTTCAGGATCTATAGGCGTGGATTTTCAAAGAGGAGAAGTTCTTCAGGATCTATAGGCGTGGATTTTCAAAGAGAAGTTCTTCAGGACCTATAGGCGTGGATTTTTAAAGAAAAAAATTGTCAAGGACCTATAGGCGTGGATTTTTAAAGAAAAAAATTGTCAAGGACCTATAGGCGTGGATTTTTAAAGAAAAAAATTGTCAAGGACCTATAGGCGGGGATTTTTAAAGAAAAAAATTGTCAAGTACCAGCGTGTCTGCAAGCGTGGATATCATGTAGGCTGGTAAACAAGCTACATGCGTGAAGTTTTGAATAATTTTCTCAAGGACCATCACATCTGTATGACTGAATTTCTGAACCTCTTCGTTAAATATTTTTTATGATATTTCTTTTCAGTTCCAAATCCCAAACCTATTTGTGATTATCGCATTCTTTTGGACTGTTTTATACCACATGAAGGTAAGCTCGGACTTATCCTAAAGACTTGTAAAATTTAATACATATTTTGTTTATATTTAGATTATTTCATAAAAATGTATAAAATAAGTAAGGATGGCGAAAGAGATTCGGTTCCGTGTCATTGTGTGCAGAATTGTCGAGATGCAATTGTCAATAAGAGAGCAAAATATGTAAGATATACAAATCTCACACAAACAGATGTAGATAAATTCCAACCTCAAATTAGTCTCATACTGAAATTGTTTACAATTCTTTTTTTTTTGATTTTTTTTAAGAAACATGACTGAGTTTTATCGATCCTATGCTAAAACTCAGCCCTCATTCAAGTAACGATTTTAGTGACAGCTGAATTACTCTGCAATACCATTTCCCTATACAAAATAATTAAACATTAATTATTTTTTCTTCCTTTTAGCATATGCAAAAAACAAATGATCTAGTGGGTGGCAATAGTCTACTCTTTGCAATGATCAATTTACCCACCTATCGTTTGAAGCGACAAATAATTTTCTCATTTACCGATTTGATGGGTATGTTAATTTGTATATATCTACGTGTGTGTCTTATATATAAATAATGTAATATGCAATTCTGTATCATTTTAGTGTCAATTGGTGGTACAGCTGGCTTCTTTTTGGGATTTAGTGTTTTGTGTTTAGTCGAAGTTATCTATTATTTTACATTGAGAGTTTTGTTTTATTTTGTGAAAATGCTTTTTGAAAAGAAATAAAGTAACAAAAAATATGAGTAATTAACAATTATTTTTTTAATAATTTTATTACGCACTAATTAACGTTATGAAATATCATTAGATGAACCCTTATTTTCAGGAGATTTAAATATTTTCGTAAATTTTCCAAATTTAAGCGAGTGTGGTGCATAAGTTGGAAATTAGAATATGGCGGAGAAAAAATAATCATTTGCTTCGTAGTGGTTTTATCACGTTTAAACCACACTTCTGGGACTTTTTTCCTTTTTATAATTATTCACTTAGAATTTCATGAAAATTAAAATTCCTCGGAGCTTATACAAAATGATATACATGATAGTAAATCAAATAAGCTTAATGTTATTTGTCAAAACTTAAAAAAATCCGAAGGCCAATTCGTTTGAAAAACATACAAATAATTCCCAAAGTACCCTATCTTTGTAAAGACCAATCCCGAAACTCAGTCTTTTTGGGTGAAAAACGTGGCCAAACTCCCCAAACACCAAAATTTGGGATATTCAGTTATATGGATCTGTCCATTTATATTTATACTAGCATATGCCCGCTACTTCGTTAGCGAATGTGGGTAATATGTCAGAAAAACTAATGAATCCGCACGTTAATATCGACCATAAATTGAATTTGAGTACCATTTAGTACCAAATTACATGATTCGAGCTCTAAAGATTCACCCAATTCCTCAACCATTCAACAAAACTTCCAGCATATCCCTGCATACACGATGATTCCAAATTCAAATTTCAGGATTTCAACTCTATTGTTGCACCCACAATTGAAATTGTACCAAATTTAGAACACAGTAGTACGAATTTTCAAAACTTCATACTTAACCCAAACCTTCACGCCCACAGTTATCCTTAATCCAAGTTTCATGATTCCAACTCTATCGGTTCACCCACATTTCAAATTGTACCAAATTTAGTACACAGTAGTACCAATTTCCAAAACATTCTACATAAACCAATCAAAAACTTCCTACATACCCTAATCTTACACCCCACAGTGATCCTGAATCGAAATTTCAGGATTTCAACTCTATTGCTTCTCCCAAAATTTAAGTTGTACCAAATTTAGTACACATTAGTACAAATTTCGAAAACTTCCTACACATCTCAATCCCATACCTTAACAATCATCCTAACTCCATGTTTCAGGATTCTAACTCTGTCAGTTCACCCACGATTTAAATTGTACTAAATTTAGTGCAAATTTCGAAAATGTCCTACATATCTGAATATCCCACCCCAACAGTCATCCTAAATCCAATTTTCAGAATTCCAACTCTATCGGTTCACCCACAATTCAAATTGTACAAAATTTAGTACACATTAATTAGGTTTGTTGAAAACATGCCTTAAATCCCCAAAATTCGGACTACACCAAAACCAATATATCCCATTTTCAATACTAAACATATTTAGGTATAATAGCAAGACCTGTGCAAATTGTCAAACCTCTAAATTAAATATAGCGATCTCTATCGTAATTTTTGGTGTACATTCAATTTTTCTTAAGCCGATCTGGACAATAATATGGAAATCTTAAACGGGACTGTTTATACCCTACACAACTATGTTGTCAGGGTATTATAGCTTTGTGCAGCCCCAAGAGTTTGTAACGCCGCGAAATATTGGTCCTAGACCCACCTTTAAGTATACCGATCATCATATCTCGACTAGCTGAGTCGATATAGACATCTGTCGATATAGACATGTTGTAAACACGATACAGGCCACAGTTATGGACCAATCTTCACGAAATTTTACATGTAGGATGGGTTCTGGTCAATGAATACCCCTATTGTTTTTGGAAAAGAGAAATACTTAATTTTTGTCGGGTTTTCTGGTCGATCCAGAGGCCGCAATTATGACCCAAACATCGCGAAATTTTACATGAAGAAGGGGATCCGGCCAAAGAATAAGCATGTCTGTTTTGATAAAGATCGGTCAATATTTAGCGGGTCAAATGGACCCTGACTTTTGTGTGAAAAATTTTAAAGTTTGTATTATATAGAGTATATATTTACCCCTGGAGGACATAGACCCGAGAAGTTGATAATATATCCAAGAGGAGTGGTGGACCTTTCAATTGATACCAATTATATTGTCGTATGTACTCGGATGTGGGAGTTACACACAATTATATTTACAGGTGCTTACGTATTCATATATTATTTAGTAACCCATTACCACACTAGAGGGCGTAAATATATTTTTAAATTTTCCATGAGGATCTAGGTATGATCAAAGACAAGGCCTGCAATTTTCGGTGATGATCAGATAATAATATTGGGATGAACTGGACCGAAAACTTAATTTTTTTTCGAGTCGAACATCACAACACGATCGGTGAAAGCCGAACATCACAACAGAACCCGCGGTTAAGGAATCTGGCCAAGTAATTAGAAGGGCTATACTGAATATTTGTAATATTTCTTGACCTCTAGTCGGTCATGAGGGTGCAAATATCGCGAAATATTGCCCAAGCTCAGAATATAGAACAACAGAAAGTTAGATTTTCGTGGAAGTTGTGTAGGGTATCATATTGTCGGACCCGCCCGACTATACTGCTCCTGTGAGCGGAGCAGTATAGCCGTACGGGCCCGACCATACGGTACCCTACACAACTACCACGAACCTTAATTTCTTGTAGATTTTTATTCCGAACCTGGGCAATATTTCGTGATAGTTGCACTCTCTTGTCCGAGTTGAGGTCAAAAGCACCTCTTCCATACACTGATATATTTTCCGAATATTACTAATAACCAGTACAGTCGTTCTAATTACTTGTCCAGATTCCCTTCAGAGTGGGTTATGTTGTGACGTTCGGTTTAAAATTGTGGCATATAGATCGACTCGAAAAAATAAAAAAAAGGTTTTGGGCCACTTCATCTCAAAATTATTATCCGATCATCACCGAAAATTATAGGCGTTGTCCTTGACCATAACTGGTACTTCATGGACACGTAAGCACCTGTAAATATTTACCTGTAACTCGTGAAGATTGGTCCATAACTGTGGCCTGTATCGTGTTTACAAATTATAATGGACAGACGGACGGGCACACATGTCTAGATCGATTCAGCTAGTCGAGATATAACGATAAAAGGTGGGTCTAGGACCAATAGTTCGCGGGGTTACAAACATTTGGACAAACTGTTTTTAATTTATTTTTTATTCACCAGGAATACGATATTCCGTTAAAGATTTATTAACATAGAAAAAGAAGCGGAATGGATTTATATCAAATTTGGACCTATATATATACACCGGAAAAATTTTTATATAAGTCAGCCTTCCAGAACCCTTTATAAAACTAAACTAAAAGTGAACGTGGCCAAACCCCCCAAAATACCGAATAATGGGAGTTATCATTATATGGGAGTTACTCTGAATCATGGGTCAATGTTGATAATTTTTGGTAGGAAGATGTTGCACACCAATGATAATCCAAAAAACATGTGCTCAAATTCCACAAAATACCGATCTTTGGGCGTAGCATTATATTGGGGAAATTTGGCACAGTAATGAATGAAATTTGGATGAAATTTGGCACAGCTCATTTATTTGGCCCAAGGACGAACCCTATTGAAATTGGTGAAAATTGGTTCAGATTTATATATATTTTCGTCCGATTTAATGTAAATGGTATACCAAAGGCACTATATATCTTTCGATTTGCACGAACTTTTGGCGCAGCGTACCAAATTAAGTCTAAAATTATGTGTGCTACATTTCGCGAAAATCGGCTAAGATTCAGATATAGCTCTCATATATATTTTCGTTCGATTTAATGTAAACGGTGCACCAAAGTCCCTATATATCTTTCGATTTGCACGAAATTTTGTATAGAGTACTGAATTAAATCTAGAATGATATGTGCTAAGTTTCGCGAAAATCGGTTCAGATGTAGATATAGCTCACACATATATTTTCGTCCGATTTTAAGTAAATGGTGCACTAAAGACCCATAGCTAGGCTGATAGACATAGCGTACTGAAGTTAATATAAATTAATTTCTGGCAAGTTTCCTTTATATCGATTCAGATTTAGATATAGCATAGCTTCCATATTTAATTTCGACAATTCATGTGATTGAAATTAAAGTTAAAACAGCGCAGCATACCAAGTTTGCTTTAAATCGATTTACAAAATTTAGTATAGGTTGCAGAATGACATGTGCAGGGATTGTTAGTCGGTTTACAATTAGAAAAAGATTACATATTTAAGTTCGTTAAAATAAAACACTATGCAATTTTTATAATTTTGTAAATATTTTTATTGTTTTTTTTTCAATATTTTTTGTATATAAACAATGTTTATTGTTTTTTTTTTTTTCTTTATGAAATACTTTTTTATTATTATTTAGTTTTGTGTGGCTAAATAGTTTTTAAAGTTTGTCATTTAAATTACATTGATATATTTCACTAAAAAAGAGTTTTCATCATATATTTTTATTGTTTGTTTTTTTAAACTAGAAAATATAACATGTTTTTTTAATAATAAAAAAATAATATCTTTGAAAAATAAAAAGAAAAGAATCTGTTAACAAAAAAATAAAATATATTATTGCAGTTTATAAAATCAAATATCCCATATTTGATGAAAAGAAAGAAGTCATTCAAAATCATCAACAATTATAATAGATATAAGAAGTTTGGAAAGTTCTGGTTTTTTTATAAAATCGTAAAGCAATTCACTTTTCTTGGGGTAGGCTGCTCAGAATAGGGTGATTGGGAAAGGTTCCGGAGCTAATGTGTATGCACAAATGATGTTAATCAGGATTTAAAATTATATTTTCTTAAAAAAATCCGTTAAAGACTCTGAAATAAATAAATTGCACGAGTTTTGTTTTGTCACACAATATCCTGAGGCAGATTTTAAATTTACCTTCAAATATTACAACAAAATATTCTTAAAACTTCAGCCAGTTTAGTCAATTCAGACTATTTTTTATATAAAAATCTAGGATATACTTATTAGGT